CAAATAGAGGGAGTGTTTATGATCAAACCTCCAAACATTTGATATCCCTAACAAGCCCTGAATGTGCTCCGTACAGGACATCCAGACTTAAAACTGTGGCATGTATGGTCTCAGAGAAATTCACTAAAATATAATGTCCTCTACAGAGGACAAAAGTCTATGCCTGGGTCCCAGGAGGGTTTATATGATATTTTTGGATCCCTTTAAGAAAACACATGCAGTACCAATATGTGTCCACTGGGGCTCTCGTCCTGTCGACAGGCTGCTGCTGCTGCATGCCATTGGGGGGACCGTGGCCAATAATGGGAGATGGTCCTCACTGCAGAAGATCCAGGGGGCGTGGTTGGATCCTGATCCAACTCCTCCCACCTTACATATACCTAAATCTACCCGTCTCCACCCCCTGATCCCTAAACCCACCCATCTCCACCCCTAAACCTACCAATCTCCACCCCCTAGATGTGGATCCAACCACGCCCCCTGAATCTTGTGTTCTGCAGTGAGGGGCTACTGAATAATGGCGAAAATCGTTCATGTAACATACGGATTATTCTTTATTCTATGAGAAATATTTAAGGCTACAGCGATTTTTAAGGCTACAGAACTGAGGTACTAAAACTGTGATATTATTCCATGCCAAAGCCAAAGGAAAGATTGAATGGAAGTGCTATCGCATTCCTCGCTCTAAGGTAAACTACAGTTTGCATGGTTAAAATTGCCTGCTGTCAGTTAGAGCGCTATAGAGCTGTTGCGTGATTTCTATAGCCTACAACAGTGTCCTTCAATGCTATGTTTTCAGACTTACTGATGTCAAGGACTCCCAAAAATGTTGATCCAATTGTGAAGGGATCCTAAATCCTCTTCCTAAAATATAAAGACAGCCATATATTTTAATATATATAAAAAACATTTATACTGTGGTAATATTTATACTGGAAAGAAAATAGTAATACATGTTGTATTATAAAGAGAGCTAAATTAAGTAATTGTTTCCTAAATTAAATAATTAACTTTTATTTTGTCATTGTACTGAAGCAAATTAAAATATTATTTTAAATATTTACTTTAATAAGTTGATAGCATATCTGATTAACAACTTTTTATTGCAGATCAACACAAACATTCTTTTTTAACAAAGCTATATGTTTATTTTCTCAAATGTTTTCTGACCAGTGTTTTTTTTTTTTAAATATTACCTATTATCAAGTTTGGTGAATTTAAATATAAACAAAATACTTATATCCAGCATATTTTGCCAGAATCTTGAGTGCACAAGTAAACTTTGACAACCCTAAAAAAAATTTCTTTAAATATCTCCTAGCACCCCCTTGCGGCCCCCAGTTTGAAAACACCTTCTTGTTCTTGTTGAAAAACTTCAAGGGTTACTCCACCCCAAAATTAAAATGTTGTCATTAATCACTTACCCCCATGCCGTGTGGTGCGGCTGACAGACAAGTAGAACAGTATACGCAGTTTGCGTTCAGTGGATACTCTCCAAAATGGCGCTACGGTGAGGCGGAGGAGACGAATTGTTGAATAAAGTGGTTATTTTTGTTTTCTTGGCGTACAAAAAGTATTCTCGTCACTTCATGAAATTCAGATTGACCCTCTGATGGCAGATGGACTATTTTGATGATGTCTTTCATACTTTTCTGGACCTTGACAGTGTTATTTTCTTGGCAGTCAATGGGACAGTCACAAGCCTCCCGGTTTTTATCCAAAATATCTTAAATTGTGTTCCGAAGACGAACGAAGCTTTTACGGGTTTGGAACGACATGGGGGTAAGTGATTAATGACAAAATTTTCATTTTGGGGTGGAGTAACCCTTTCACTTTCTAATTCTTGTATAAGTACATGCATTTGTATAAGCTCACATTAATTGAGATTAATTGAGTATTTGTACTTTTAAAACCTTTTTATTTAATTATAAGGCTTTGCATGAGAAATATACTTATTGTGTATTTCAGATTATTTCATTCTAGAAATTATGTAATTTTAATCACTTTTAATTTATTATTTCTCCCTTATGGTCACAGTGATGATCTCTCAGATCACCCCCAGTCTGTACCTGAGTGGAGTGGAGGCCCTGAATCAGTCAGCGCTGGAGCACAGAGGCGTCACTTTGCTGGTGAACGCCTGCGCTGAATACCCCTGTCCTGAGTATCAGGGGGTGAAATGCGTTTGGGTGCCGGTGGAGGACCGTCCTCACGCTTCTCTGGAGCAGCACGTTGACAGCGTGGCTTGAGCAGATCCAGCAGAACCACACTGGAAGCTCGCTGGTGTTCTGCTCGGCTGGGAGAAGCAGGTCTCCGGCTCTTATCATGGCGTATCTCATGCGCTTTGAGGGACTCTCACTGCTTCAGGCTCATCAGCGGGTTCTGGCAGCACGGCCCTTCATCCAGCCAAACGCGGGCTTCTGGAGACAATTGCTTCAGTATGAGAGGAAACTGACCCACAGCAACAGCATCAGGATGGTGGCCACCTCACAGGGCGTCCTACCTGAGGCCATCCAGCTCACACAGGACTCGTCATACTGCCATAATGTATAATTATTATATATATAATTAATTATATGATTTTTTTAATGAAACAATTTATTGAACCCTTAGACAAAACGTTAAAAAAAGGTTGCATATGTTTTTTTATGTTTTGTATCATATATGATACATCAGGCTTTTATGGCACATATAGTATCATATAGTGAGAATGTGGAGCACATACTCGAGGAGGAAAAAAAACTTTATTATTCTTCTCTCCAATAAAGAAGTGAGCGATTTACTCAAAGAGATGCACAATCTGTCTGTCCCTTCCTTTGTGCAGACACAGTTGGAAGAATGGATCCTCCATGTTAGTGCAAGAAGAGATTACAATTTCTTGCCCTTCATTCTCCACTGTCTCTATGAACTCCACAAGAAGCAGTTTGTTCAGAAAACTATGGAAGCTTGGCAGGACTTAGACATGTCCCAGGGTCCACTGAGCAGGACAGACTGCTAGGCATTATTGTACTGTCTGGACTGCTGTCCTCACTTCAGAAACCTGAAACTCAACTTCATGGCTGAGGAGCTGAAGATGTTTCGACCTGTGTTTTGCAAGACCCCAGAACTAGAGTGAGTGTGCAAATCTAGTGATGCACCAAAACAGAACAGTTATTTTTAGCTTATGGCCTCTAATATGTTGGTTGACATTATAAACCAGTGTGATTAGGTTTGAACATGTTAAAGGAGAAATGCCATTTGGAAATAATGATGTATACCATACAATATATTAAAGGGGTCATATGATGCTGCTAAAAAGAACATTATTTTGTGTATTTGGTGTAATGAAATGTGTTTATGCGGTTTAAAGTTAAAAAAACACATTATTTTCCACATACTGTACATTATTGTTTCTCCTCTATGCCCCGCCTTTTTGAAACGCGTCGATTTTTACAAAGCTCATCGGTCTGAAAAAGCGAGGTGTGCTGTGATTGGCCAGCTATTCAGTGCGTTGTGATTGGCCGAATACCTCAAGCGTGAGACGGAAATGTTACGCCCCTCACCATACTGTTGATGCCGTGTCCGGCCGGAGCGACGAGACATAAACATTAAAACCCATTACAAACGAGGCATTTGTTGCATCCAGTGGGGACATAATTACTGATTATAATGACTTATACTGTCTTTTTACGCGTTGCGTTGCATTGCGCCGCGTAAACATAAAACCCTGTCTGCATTTGTGATCAGAGAAATGACAAACAACAAGTGCTAACGTTAATCCACACTGCCCAAAACTCGCGTTTGAATCAACAGTGGCAAATGATAAAAGAAAACGTACTTACGTGAGTCAGAACTGCCGGCATTTTAGTCTAACGTAACTCTCCCAGGATCAGTAAACAGTCCTCCATAAAATGTGCTGGCGATCCACAGCACTAAGTTGATGTATTTCCTCAGCGACCAGCACGGATCAGCTCTAGGCATGACGAAGCGGATATCGTCCTCTTTTGGAAGACCAAACAAAGTAGCTTCGCTTTCACAACGAAGCACACAGCGTCTTCAGGACATGGCGGCAGCGGCAACAATACTACAGTGAGAATAAAAGTTACGCCTTCTTTCTTTGCGTGAACATTTGGGCGGCGTTATGCAAATCTTCCCACATAGTGAGGTAGATATGTGGGGGCGTGTTCGAACGAGCCGTTTTAGGTAGGTGTGGCTAACTCTTAACTTTTATAAAGAATATCTCTTTGGATTTGAGTCTTTAGTCTTTGCAACTTTACAGATCTTCTTTATGCACCAAGAGCTTGTAACACTCTAAAGAGAAAGGAAAAAATGAAATCGCATCATATGACCCCTTTAATATAACTATGTATAGGGATTAAGGATTAATGTAAGTATTTAGAGAGAAATTTACCTTGATTTATTTATAAATGTAGACCAAATGTTAGTCAAAGATTTGCTGAAACAGTTGGGAAACAGTGGTGTGGCTGGTAGTTCTTGGTATAGCACTTGTTTTTTCCCTTCCACTCAATTTTAATGCTTAAACTTTAATTTGTTCATAAATTTCATTTATCTGATTTCATTTGCATTAATTTCATTGATATACTTGTTTATTGCATGTTTCAGGCTTTAGGTTTTGAGGACATACTTAGGTGTTTTTCAGTTTAAAATTAAAAGGTAAAAAAAAATGTTTTATATATATATATATATATATAGGAGGTAAACAGAGCAAAGTTTTAATCATCAAAAAAATTGTTCACGAAGGCTGTCACTTTTATTCGGATGTGACATAGGATTGCTGTATTTCAAGGAGATTTTCCTGGAGATTTTCGTTACACTAAGTTTGTTTGATTTTAACTCACACATGGCTTGCGTTAACTTGTACAACAATTTATACTATGCACGTTTAGGGCACTTTTAGGACTGCCTTCTTCAAGTTCAGGTTCAACCTGTTTCTCATGTTTCTATAACTTAGGGTCTTACGGTTCCTGCAGTTTCAACTCTAAATTGAGCTCCTTCAAGTGAAGTGAAGTTATAGCACTGTCTATCTGAAGAAAAGCAGGCGTAGAGGACAAACCTTCAGCACTGATGTTAGTTGTTTTATTTAAAAAAGATAGATCAAATATAAACCACATTACCTGGACCTGCAGAACTAGAATCCACATTTTGGGGAGGATCAGGTAACATTTTTTAAGTGCTTTCATTGCACAGATTTCTCAACAAAGAGCATACCAAAAGTCATCTAAATTCTTTTTCTTGTTTAGTGTAATTCTTTTTACTTGTTTAGTTTACAAACGTCTCTTAAATTTGACTTGTGTTATTGATGTTGCAATGCTTTCACTTCTGAAAAATACTAAAGATATAATTTCTCTTATTATGACCCTGAATGTTTCCCACGTCCTAGAATTTCGCATTTTCTAAATTATTGTATGTTATAAATTCTCTAATTGTAGTATATATTTTGGAGATTATTTGAATAGATTGAATGTTGTGGGTTGTTTTTCTTTTGTTTGTTTTTCCTGGTTAGCAAAATACAAGTCTTCGTCTGCAGTTTGAGAACTGGTTCAACTGGATCATTGAAAGGAGCTGGCTCAAAAGAAAGATGTGTTCTCTATTCAGGCACTATCAGGTCTTGGAGTGGGTCTCAAAGTTACCCATTAAACTTTGAAAAGTTTGGAAGTAAAACTGTCCTAAAATTAAAACAGTCTGTCATATTAGTCATTGTTTTGTGTACATTTTAAGTGGTTAAACTTCAAGACCCTCCTGTATCAGTACCATTTTGTTTTGTAACTGTATATTCAGAAAAAGGCCACACTTGGGTTTAAAGTGCATGTCAGAGTATTTTTTACATGCTACTTAATTTACCACATACCAATAGTGCAATCTTTAACCATGTGTCATAAAAGTTGTCTCCAACAGTCGTTAGAAGACATTTCAAACTAGGTGCATTATTTTTGGTTTCCTAGAGCACTGCTCTCTCCAACACGTCACAAACACTTTTGAGACACCATGGACCAAGACTCAGAGTGTAAGTACTGTTACTACAGCAGAATAGTCTGTGTTACACTGATTAAAAGTGAAGTGGCCCAAATAATTGTTTGCTACACTATTGAATATAGTTATTGAAAATTCAGGAATCATAAAATTATAAAAAATTATATAATTTACCATTATCAACACTCTGTAATATTATTATGTATGTTCATTTGTTAATATAATACTATGTAGGGTGCACTTGACTATTGTTTTGGACTGATCTGTTTGCAATGGAATCTGTTTGCAATGAAATTAATGTTTAAGTGTGACTTAAATGTCCAAATTACTACTGATGTTTAAAACTGCCAGTATATGCTGAATGTCTAAATTTGTGGACTTACTTCCTTGTGACCAATTATCATTTTGTCAACTCTCCACCAGGTGCACGGGTTGTGGATGAACACTGGGCGACATTTGTCCAGAGAGTAAAAATGGTGATGCCGATAGTGGACGAGCTGCGGTCACGTGGCATGCTAGAGTGGGAGCCATACTGTAAGATCAGCACAGCAGATACTAACCAGAAGAAAATGAGAGAGCTTTATGAAGTGCTGCACTCTGGTGGAGATAAGGTTAAATCTGCCTTTTATTCTCAACTGGAAAGGCAGGAGCCATGTCTGTTTAGAGACTTGGGTAAGAGCACACTAATTGGCCCATATACCATGTGAACTGTAATATGTATACTTTTACAGGTAGCATTGAAGCTCTTATAGAAAGCTTAAGTATTTCATCTTAACTTTTCATCTTGATAAATGAATTTGTTCAATTACAATTTAAATGCTTATGTTTACATTCTATGTCTATTTAAACAAATAAAAAATATGCAAAATGTGTAAGGATAGTTCACACAAAGATGACAATACTGTCATTTTCTCCCCTTCATGTTTTTCTGTGCAACACAAAAGGTTAATTTTTTTAATAATATCCTGACCTCTCCATTTCCTATAACGGAAATGAATGGGGACTGAGGCTGTAATGCTACAAAATGACACCAAATGACACAAATGGGGAAAAAAGCACCATAAAATTGGTTCATTTGATTTGTCATTAAGTCATACAATAGGGTGACCATACGTGCCATTTTCCCAGGACGCGTCCTGGGAAAATGGCACGTATGGTCACCCTATCATACAATAGATATACAATAGATCATTTGTGATGAGCAGACCAAGAGACATGCAAAAACTAAGGATGCGGTATCGGGTCCGATACTGCGATCCTGTATTCGTACTCGTAAAAATGCCCCAATACCAACACAGCGTGTGAATAGAGCTGTGTCCAGAAAAAGAAACGCCGACAACAGAACGACAGAGAGTATAATGGAGATATTAGAGATTAAGGATGTCTATGAAGTACATGTAAGTAAATAATAGAATGTTAAACATTCAATATCCACGCCTGTATAGCAGCAGCACAGATGCGCGAGCTTGTCAAGTGAATATCTCACAGACATCACTGGAAAGTTTGTAGGTCGGACGGATATTTAAAAAGCAAGTAAGTAAAATGCTCAAGTTACTAAAGTTATTTGACTGTAAGAGAGTCCCAGAGCACGCACTTCTGTTGCATGATCTTGATTTCTGTTCGCTCCATTAGCGCACGCATTTGGATTAAAACTAAATCGTAAATATAAAACAAACAAAAATTATAGGGGCATTCACTATAAACAACATTTATTTTAAACGTCAAGCATACACGACTTTATTTAAAGTGAAGCTAGCAGCCTGTGTGAAATGCGCTAGGCTGTAAGTGTCTCTCGTTCTGCGCCAATACAAACCTGTGCGCGCTGTGCATGTTTAGCTTTTACATTAAAGGCCAAAGTATATTTCGGTTTTTACTCATAAGCGAGGGTCCACGTACAGTGCACGTGACGCAAATTACATCACTAAAATAGTATGCGCGTACTCCTATAATGTATAACGAGTGGTTCCCTGCATTATTTTAGGAAAACGTTTTGTGATTGCAGTATTGAGCTGCTGCAATTGAGCAGCTCTAATGCGCCATTAAAATGAACAGGGAAAGTAACAAAAGCTTATACAAAACATTTTAACTGGTATAATTAAGTGTGGAAATAACTGAAGGAAATATCTGTTTGCTAAATGAAGCCAACTAACATGATTCATTTTTTTTTTTTTTTTTTCTGTAGCCAGTATTATTATTATTTTGATTACAAATGCTGTGAAAATACAGGTATCGGTATCGGCGAGTACCAAAAATGAAAGTATCTTAAAGGGAAAAGTATTCTTCCCTTTAAAAAGTTCAAGATGCTTACAGTGCATACAACCTAGTATTGCACCTTGTAAGAAAGTGCATATATATATGCACTTTCTTACAAGGTGCATTGTATGCATCTTGAATATATATGTAAACATATATATGTGATAGATAGATAGATAGATAGATAGATAGATAGATAGATGGATGGATGGATGGGTGGATGGATGTAAAACGTTTATAAATATATGTGAATTGTGTTAATCAGATGTATCTGATGTTCTGCAGGTTTTACTGGGCATCACACACACTTTGAAAAAACACAAACCCCAGGTGACTGACAAATTTTTATAGTAATATGTTTTAAATATTGCACTCCTTCCACCTCATAATTTAGTTGGTATCTACTGCCTGCTCTAAAATTTCTTACTATATTAGAATCAGAATTTCTAAAAAAAAAATAAAAAAAACACTTAACTATTTGAACAATTATAATTTCTACAGAAATCAGCTCAGTGATTCTCAAATATAAGAAGCAGATCTGCAGTGAATACCAGTATGTGACAGAGTATAACTCACTGCCTGGTGAATATGTGCTGCTGTCTGAGCGCTACACACAACCTCTGATCCTTCAGACACATAGAGATCAACAAGAGAGACAAGAAGAGCTCTGCTCCAGTGGAGAGAGATTCCAGCAGGTCCTCAGCTCCAGGAACAGTCATGAATCTTCCTATTTGAACTCTCTGTTCAACCCAGGTGACCACAGAATCAGTCCCAGTGCTATTATACTGCAAGGAAATTCAGGGAATGGGAAAACTTTAACTGTGCAGAAGATCATGCTGGACTGGGCATCTGATGACCTCTACAAAGAACAGTTTGATGTTGTGTTCCATTTAAAGTGTAAAGAAATAAACTGCATTTCTGGCACAAAGAGTTTGGTAGAGATCTTAAGCAACAGCTGCAGTTTAACATCAGATCAGATCTCACAGATAATACAGCATTCACCAGAGAAGGTGCTGTTCATCATTGATGGATTTGATGAGCTGAGACTCACACAGGACATTTATCACATGTCACCAAACACTGATCCGATTCAAAAAGCTCCACCTGAAGTCACTCTTTGTGCCCTGCTTAGGGGTCAAATCCTGCCAGAGTCCTTCCTGCTGGTCACCACCAGATCTACAGCTACAGACACACTGGGTAAACTGCTCAAAGGACCTCAACGTTTCACTGAGATTATGGGATTCTCTGAGATGGGGGTGGAGGAGTACTTTCAGAAGTTCTTCCAGAATGAGGAACTCTTCAGGAAAGCCTATGAATATGTTAAAGCAAATGAAACTCTCATCACCGCCTGCTCCATCCCTGTCATCTGCTGGATCATCTGCACAACTATCAAGGAACGATTTGAAGTTGGTGCAGATGTAACAAGTGGACTGGAAACCACCACCTCCATCTACTTTGACTTTGTGTCCACTCTACTGGAGCATCACTGCCAGGGTTTGAGTCAGTCTGCCCCGAGCCTGCTGAGGAGTCTGGGTCAGCTGGCAGAGAGAGGGATGCTGGAAGAACAAGTCCTGTTTGATGAGGAAAGTGTAAATGAAATGGTTTCAGACCCTGCTGGCAATCCATTCCTGTGCAAGTTCCTCTTTAAGAGAAGAATCAGCCAGGAGACGATGTTCAGTTTCATGCATCTCAGCTTTCAGGAGTTCTTCACTGCTCTCTACTATGTCCTTCTGGAAGAAGAAGAGTCCCAGAGGAAAGTGAGAGAGCTATTATCCAAGAATTCATCTGAATATTCTCCTTATGCACATCCTCCACGTTTTGCAGCTGTGGTGCAGTTTGCTTTTGGTCTGTTGAATAAGGATGTGAGACGCACACTAAGGAAAAAACATGGTCTGGTTGTTCATCCAAATGCACAGACCCATCTGAAGAAATGGATTTTGGAAGAATTTCGAACTGATTATCCAATTATGGATAGAACACTGTTTTGGCTTCACTGTCTCTATGAACTCCATGAAGCAGACTTTGTGAAAGAAGTTATGGAAGCCCGGAATAAGATCAGTCTAAGTGATGTATCACTGAAAAGTATAGACTGCTGGGCCCTGCTGTACTGCTCTCAGTGCTGTCACAGCATGAACGAACTGTATATCACTGACTCCGCATTGACATGTAAAACGTTGTCTATGATTCTGCCTGCACTCCCCAATTTTAAGAATTTAACGTAAGTGCTTTGATCCAAAACAGATCCTACATTGATCATGCTTTTATCTATTGATCAGGTATTCCTAATGTAAAAATCTTAAAACTGTGAAACTGATGAAAGTTTAAACTTGGCTGACATTAGTTTATTTCTGTATAAAATCTCTGAAGGTAAATTTTCCACGCTGAATTCAACTATTCAAATTTGTACACAGATACATTTTTTTAAATGTGTCATTACATTTTTATTGTTTGTAATTGCAAGTTTGTCTTGATTATTTAGTCTGTACAGTAATGTTCTGGATTTGATTTTGAAGGTTTCATCTTGTAGATCTATCAGACTCTTTCCTTGTTGAACTGATGTGTGCTCTTGTGAGAAGACAGACCCTGAGCTCACTGAGGTAATGTCTTTTTAAAACCACTGACTCAAAATACATTTAATGTATTTTATGCACACATGCACTATCATCCTTCAGTGTGCTTTACTTTAAGTTAATGTTTTTTATGATTTGATTTGCAGTCTTTCTCCTGACAGCTACACTATAGGTTGTTGGAGTTGTTCGGTCTCCTCACTTGACCTGTCACTCAGTGAAGAAATATGCAGGTAAAGGAAAAGTGAACTGTTAGGTAACATTTTACATTAAGGTTCCCTTTGTAAAGGGTTTATAAAGGTGTTCATTAATGACTAATAACTAGTTTACAAATACATTATAAATAATTGATAATGAGTTATGAATAAAAAGGGTGATTTTAATGCAATAGCTATCAAATAGTGAGCGATTTTTTAACTCATGTTATAAATGCTTAATAAATATATTCATACTTATTTCATTTAAAACCAGATTCATGATTTATTTCATGATGCAGCACAAAATAGACTATTATGAGACTGTCATGACTCGTGTTACTTTACTTACTGTGTTGCTTACCAGCTGCTCTGTATCTTATCCATGATGCCTATCCACAGCAAAGTATAAAACTGATTTTGTTTATCGAAAGGAAATTATCAAACTTTTTTTCTTAAAACACATAAGAGCACAACCATAACTTGATGAGATATTAATTAGTTATAACTTTATGTGGTTTATTAGGTACCTGTGAACCTTAATGTAGGGTGGTCCATTTATAGATGTATAGAGATATAGATGAATTATAGATGTTAATAACCTGTGAAAGTGAACCTTGATGTAAAGTGGACACACAAATCATTTATTTATTAATTATTAATGCACAAAGATGGCATTTTTCTGGTGAAATGTATTTTATTTTTTATTTTTTTTAATTGTTGATGAATTATTACTTTTTTATTGGTGATTAATTATTTCAGTAAACACAACTTTAAATTTGAAACAAAAAAGATTAAACTTTTCTTTTACAGCACATTGGAAACTTACAAAGCATGGCTTCTCATGAAAAGTGTCTTTTATGTTCTGTAACAGTGCTTTCCATCATTGTTTTTAAAATTACAAAACTGTTAAATTAGACAAAAGAGTAAATACATAGGTGCCTTTATTCAGCGTGTATTTATCAAATTTTTGGTTTATAGATATGATGCTTGGTTATAATTTGGTGGAATACTTGATTGTTTCTCTGAATTGTGTAATCTGAGTTTACTTGCATAAGACACTTTTCATGAGAAGTCATGCTTAATACATTTCCAATGCGCTTTAAAAAAAATTAATCTCTTTTTTTCAAGTTTAAAGCTGTCTTTACTGTGCATCTACAATTAAATACATTTCACCTCAAAAAACTCTCTTCTGTTTGTGCATTAATAATTAATAAACAAATTATTTATGTGTGTCCACTTTACATTAAGGTTCGCTTTCACAGGTTACTAGCGTTCATAACTCATGGAAAAATGGTGTCCACTTTATATTAAGGTTCATGGGTAACTAATATTGGAATTAAATTTAAATTTAAATTCTTGATTAATATCTCATCAAGTTAAGGTTGTCCTCTTATGTTTTTTTTTGTTTTTTTTTAAGAAATAAAGTTTGATAATTTCATTCAGTTTTTATACATTGCAGTGGATAGGCATCATGACCTTTTGCAGAGTATCATGGGTAAGATACAGAGCAGCTTCAAGCAACGTAGCAAGAAAAGTAAGGGTGCTCCGATCAGGATTTCTGGAGCCGATCACCGATCGTCAATCACAGGAAGCAGTATCTGCAGATACGATCACTGATACCGATCCTTTTGAAGCCTACTTTTTATCATTAATTATTTATAGTGATGCTCCAATCAGGATTTTTCAGAAATTCATTCAGGGCCTGAATTTCTTTTTTGAAAATGGGGGGAAATCTTTTCAAAAATATATAATTATCTCACCTAAATGTTTAATAATACAGTGCACTTTTGTTTTTTGTTGCTTTACAATGGGGCAATTGTTGCACAATAGCTTACACACAGCACAAGCCTGATTTCGTGAGCTGTATGTGAGGTAAACTTCCCAAAGCGATTATCAGCCGATAGCGATCGGTAGCAGATCAATCGGAGCACCCCTAAGGAAAAGTGAGAGTCATGAGATATAGCCTAGCTAAATGAGAGAACCACAAATACAACACCCTTCAGTCTCACTATAATTCTCTATTTATTTGCTGCATCAGGGAATAAATCAGGGATCTGGTTTTAAGTGAAGTAAGTATGAATAAATATATTTATTAAGCATTTATACCATGCGAAAAAAAATCGCTCACTATTTGGCAGGTATTGCGTTAAAATCACCCTTTTTATTCATGCAGTTATAACTGTTTATCACTGATTTATAATGCATTTGTAAATGAGTTATTAGTCATTAATGAACACCGTTATAAACCCTTTACAAAGGGAACCTTAATGTAAAGTGTTACTCTTGTTGGTTTTTAGACACAATAACACTGATGCCAGTTTTTCTTTCTTTTTTTTCTTTTTAGTATCTGCATAAGCACTTTTTGTGAAGACGCTGCACCATCTTTTCTAACATTGAGTCTCACCTTGCCACGCTCAGTGCTAATCAGCATCGACTGGACCAATATTCAGATACTTCACCAAAGGAATTTAGATGCATTAATGCATTTTCTCAGTTCTTTCTCTGAACTGAAAAAGTTAAAACTGAAAATAGGCTGTCTGACAAAGAAGTGTGCTCTTTGGACCCTTCAGATCATCCAGAACCTCCCCAGTGTAACAGAACTCTTGTAAGAAAATAATCTTCTATATGAATTTGTCAGTTTTTAGGAAGAACAGTGTAGCACATAATTCAAGTGATAGTTCACCCAAAAATGTTGTTACAACCTATGACTTCTTTCTTCTGCGTAAGGTGAAATAAGATATTTTAAAGGATGGTGGTGTGACAAACAGTTTCAGTTCCCGTTGACTTCCATTGTATGGAAAGGAAATCAATGGGAACTGAAACAATATTCTTACCAATATTATTCAAAATATGTTCTTGTGTGTCCACAAAAGAAAGAAAGTCATACCGGTTTGGAACAAAATGTAGCTGAGTAAATGATGACAGAATTGTAATTTTTGAGTGAACAATCTCTACAAAACATTACCACATTTCATTCAGTGAGTTTCAGTATGAATGAAAGTGAGATTACACACTGATTACACACACAGTCACTCATTAGTGAGGTATAAAGTTCCTAAAATAGACAAAATTGTTTAGTAAACAAAACATTTTTAAAAGCCACTTCGAAAGAACTGTTGTAATTTTATCTTGCAAGCAGATGCAAATGAAATACCCCAATTGGTAGTACATGGCTCTCATCCATTTTAATCGTTATGGAATTATTTAAATTAGGGATGCACCGATACCGATACTGGTATCGGTATCGGGCCCGATACTGGCCTCCTGTCCTCGTATTGGTAGTACATGGCTCTCATCCATTTTAATCGTTATGGAATTATTTAAATGAATGTGTGGAAAGCAAAGTATTAAGTATGGTATTATCAGTCCCTAAAATCGAAATCATTTTATCTGCATAATGTGTATCCACATCTAGGGTAGATGCTGACTTTTTACTGGAGGAGGTAATCAAGGTGTTGCAGAGGTCCTACACAAGACCAGCCTGTATTATGGGAGTTCACGGGTTTGTATTGTTTTATCATCATACTTTTTGCACCAATACATGTGCTGGTCAGTCTTTTTCATGCATTTTCATGGAGACTAGAGTTGTCAAATTTGAAAAAGAACACCATGAAAGAAAAAAACACCATGGAAGTGGTCTATCTATATGACTTGTGTGGCATATTTTGTGTCTTCTGAAGTCACAAAACCTCTTTGTGAGGAACAAACCAAAAGTTTGAGAATTGTTATTCATAAATGTATTTTTCTTTACATCCACCCTAGATTTCTTAGATCATTAGCAGTAAATAACTTAACTTTGGGCCTGTTTCTTACACAAATTATTGTTATAATGATCATTATACTTAATTATATATATATATAATTTATATTAAATGCAAATGTCAGGTTTGTTTAAGACTATGTAGTGATGCTGTGCTTTGTGCTTTCTGGTTACAAAGGTTTATATGCAATAAACAGTCTCAAAAATGCACAAACCATAATGACTGGCATCGGAGATGCAACCAGAAAGTGACGGTTCATCTGAATTCCCAGGGCTTTTCTATGGAGAATGAGCGAACGTAAGTTAAGACTACCACAAATGCACCAATGACAATGTAATATGGCACTATGCAGCCATCATCAACACAAAAGATGAACTTTTTATGACTTTTTTTGAGCATTGGATATGAAATGTACATGTTTTAAGAGCTATAGCATATGATTATAGTGTAGATATATACTGGTTGACTTTGTATATAGACATATTTATCATGTGTTTTATCTTGTCTCTCCATTTCTAAGGCCCTTGTTTTGGGACTAATGGTACAGCTTGGTAAATGGTAGAAAACTGCAAAAGCAGCATCGTTACCTAGAGCTGAGGATTGGAATGAAGACAGCAACTAAATCAATCTAAAGTGCATTTACAGTCGGTGTTGAATTGTAATCGCAATTGTTTCAAATCACCTTTACAGAGTTTTAGTATTGTATTTAAGTATCCCTTGTTTTTTTGACTGTAAGAGTTTTTGCCATGAAGATGAAGCCTGAGATGCTTACATGGCATTAAAATCTATACTATAGTTTTATGATATTGATGCTTAATTGTCCACATTTAACAGTTAAGAGCTGAGTGATAGTATAGTTTATTTGTGAATACAATATAAATAATCAAGAAATTAAGATTTGCCATAGCATATATCATTAGCAATTCAATTTGAATATTGTATGTATCAGAAAAAAAAACTGGATATAGTAGTTGTAAGTTGGGGTTATTCATTTATGGTGTGATATAGAGGATTATGAAACTGTAAGGGATTGTACAATTTATTACAATTTGGTGTATATCACTGCCTGTATAAATGACAAGGTTTAAGATTTTGGTCACTTCACCCTGGTCAGTTGAACAAAACCGGCATAATATAAAGTACATAATACAAAATCTTTAGTCCCAAAGTGTGCAAGTCAAAGGCAATTGTGGCAAGGAATGAAAAACTCCATATGAACTTGGATAATATAGAAGAAAAACCTTGGGAGAAACCAGGCTACACCAGGGGGCAGTTCTCCTCTGGATATGCATTCAAAATATAGTGTAAGTAATTCAGCAGATAAGTTACTATATGCAGGTGTAATAGCATGTTCTCATTATTGCACAAATGATCAATGTTGGACACTTTATTTTACACTGTTGGTGTCTACCAGAGCTATATTAAAATCTGTAATGTATGTGTTTTCACAGTAATGAAACTTAAAAAACTAATAAAACTAGTAAAACATAAAAGCAAAGTCTCTGTCTCTGTATGTTCATTTGCATCAATCAAGAATTAGAGGAAGGTAGGATACAACTTCAAGGAACCCTTCACCCAAAAGTGAAAAATGTCATTTGCACACCTTTGTTTCAAACCTGTACGATTTGCTTCTGAGGTAAAATTTTGTGGTTCAGATTCCTTTTTCCCAAGAATATCCTCCCCCTCCCAGTAGATTTTTTGAGCTACTTTTTATTGAAGAACAATTCTTGAAACTTCTGGAAACACAAAAAGAATTGAGGTTAATTTACCAATATCGACACTCCCAGTTTCACTATAATTTATATAATTATAGTGACCAAAATGATCACAGTTATCAAAGATAGCATCTTATTAGATTATATTTTTGTTTACACATGGTAAAATATGTTTACTGTAGTGGTAACCATGGAAATCTACAAATACTAAGGTCTATTCTTGCAGAAAACAAACTGAAATGGACTTCTTTGGCAGTACGTGTAACTTTTTCTAAACATTTTCTCTCATGGTTTTGGGTAACATGATTCTATCAGTCAAGACTAGAGAATTTATGTTAATCTTTCAAGTTTATTTTTATTCTGTGGACTAAAAGTACAAGAAAAACAACCTTTGTCTACAGAAAGATTTGGCTTAATTTACATTTAAGCAAAAAGTTAAGCCAAATCTGCTCTTCAGCTGTGCATTAATTATAAAATTATTTATTAATTACTGTAACAGTAATGTTAGCCTACATTTTAGATCACATTATATTACCTACTTTTTTCCTTTGTCACCAAGAGTTTCGCACTAACCAGAACATTTCCAGAGCTCATGCTGGGCTAAACGTCAACACTGCAGCTCGGAGTGGAAGCAATGTTACAGAACCTATATTCACTAATAACACAATACATTAATTACATAATGCACCTGGTAAGGTTTTTTTTATGTAGACAGAAGCGGACAATATTCGCTATAAGTTTTCTGATAATATGTATTCACTATTTTCATGTGCTAAACACAAGTGCTGAAATATGTAAACTGTTTTAAAGTATATCAGATATCTGCAAATACAGTTGTACTAATGTTGTATAGTTTCATATTTGTAATTGATTTAGCTACTGAAAATCTGTACGTAAACGTGTTCTGCAGGTTTCACTGGCGATCGCACATACTCTGAAGAAACACCAAAAGCCAATTAACATCAGAAAAACGGTCTATGATTCTTCCTGTACTCCACAAGTTTGAGAGTTTAAGATGAGCACTTCAAAACAAACCCTCAGTGAACATATACAGTAAGCAGTTTATGTACATAATAATCTCTTACTTACCTGGATGCCAACTTTTGCTATGTTTATGTAGGCTATTAGTATTTAGCATGCTAATGCGTGTATTGATCTTACACAATTCATTCAATTCAAATGCACTTAGTTTATCTGAGGCATCTGCTTAGTTACAGCTAGAGTTAGTGTCAGTAATAAATGTATTTCCTTTATAAGAAACATAAGTTACTAGGAAAATTGTTACATTGGTTTGATGACACCTTTCTCCATTTTTAAGGGCACTGTTTCAATACTAAGCTACAGATCGAGAACTTGGACTAAATGTAACGGTGGCAGTTGTACTGTACAGTCCTGTGGATGACAATTCAGAGCGTAGTTTGGATCGATGTCTCTTCATTAAAACAATGTAATAGATATTCATGTCAGCATGTTAACATATAAGTTAGAAAATGGAATTTGTCAAATATATTATGTAATTTTTTTTCATCCCTACTGGCTGGTTGTTTTTATAAGAATATTATCAATATTTTCTGCTACTGTGTTGTTGACATTTATGTATTGTTGAGATGTAACAACATGGATACGCATGCGCTGTCCGTGTTAAATAGTTATCGTTGTAAAAATCTGTTGAAGTATTACATTTATACATAACTGTTGCAAGGTTTACTAGCCATGCCTTTCCTTTATAGCGTAATTATTTTATAGATTTGTGGGATTTTGTTCTTCAATGTTGATAAAAACCATTTCCTCTTGCTTAAAAATTGTGCGCACATGGTTTGTTGTGGCACTGGGACCTATAGGGCCTCGTTTATCAAGCAAGATTTTATAAATAAATAACATTTCAGATCTCCGCCTTGTAAACGCCCCCTAGTTAAAGGAATAGCTCACCCAAAAATGAAAATTTTGTCATCATTTACTCACCCTCATGTCGTTCCAAAACTGTACGAGTTTATGTTAAACACAAAAGAAGATATTTTGAAGAACCAAACAGTTGTTGGTTCCCATTGACTCCCATAGTACGGAAAGAAATACTATGGAAGTCGATGGGGACCATCAACTGTTTGATTATCAGCATTCTTCAAAATATGTTCAGTTTTATGTTCAACGTAAGAAAGAACTCATACAGGGTTGGAACGACATTAGGGTGAGTAAATTACTTTTCATTTTTGGGTGAACTATCCCTTTAATGTCATTAACATAAAAGAGCACCAGTCAACTTCCAAATCCTTTACTTGAGAATGACAAGCGGCAAGAATCGCTTAAATTTTCAAATACCTGCAGAACTTCAGCAGCAGTCAGAAACAAATAATGCAAACGTGTGGGAAAAAAACCTCAACAATCCTGCAGGTAAACAACATCAAGATCATTTTTTAAAACTTGGAAATATTGACATCATATAGATATTTTTTTTTATAACTTTCACTATAACAGCAGCATTTCCCATGATAAGGCCTGTCTGGAAAGCAAAACAGCTTTTCCTAAATTACTGATATGACTGAAACATCTCATCACTACAAATACTTGTTCTACAGTCTATGGTTCTGACATGCAAATTCCTTTAGGCAGACTAGAATGCATTCTCCCTCCACACATCACAGACAAACGACACGAAAAGAGTTGTGCTGGTCAAACACTTAATGCCCTGGGTTTATTAAACATTTTTTGTCATATAAGTTTTTTTTTAATTCATTCTTCCAGGTGGGACTAAAAAAAAAAACACCTCAAAGATAGATGATGCCATTGGAACGGGCATTCAGATTGTGGTACATACAAACAACAACTACGAGTAGCCTTGTGAGGTACCATCCTCTTCACAGAAGAGAGCTCATGCTGGCCCCACAGCACGGGTGCCACCATGAAGTCTTACAGGAAACAAAACGTCCCTTTTTTGTTCGTTTTCATATAAAGTGGAATGATGATGATGATGATGATAAAGAAACCTACCGAGATGTCACTGTAGTCCTCTCCCTTATGAACTACTGTTACACACAAATAACAGACTCGCTCCATAACACAGGGGACGTACAATCGGTCATCAAAAACAGAGGTAATAAAAAATAATCCCACTTAAGTTTCACAAACCCCAGATGAAAAAGGGTCTCTCAGATTCCAGAAAAAAAAAAAGACTCAGAAATCATACAAAAGCAGCATTGATTTAAAAAATAAAAAATAAAATAGTGCTTGAGTGGAGTGGGAGCAGCCACAAGAGAGAGAGAGACACAGACAGATGAACCCCTGCTGCTTTTTTTCCAACAAGAGATGTTCACATACAACTGCTTTAGCTACATACACACACACACGCTCACACATACACTGCTCAGAAACCCAGGAGGTTACAGTGTATTAAAACAAATATTTTTTTTTAGAATTTAAAGGGAGAAAAACAAAAAAACTGTAAACACCTCACAATAAATAGATAAAACAGCAGGTTTTGCACCATGCATGTGACGCATACATTCAGATAGTCTCACAAACACTTGAACATTCACAATCTCCGACACGCACACTACGAAAATCGCAGTTTTTTTTCAGATTTTTTCCCCAAGTGCAAAACATCACAAATGAACAATTTCTGTATTCAAGTAATGTTATATACAAGTGGGTGTATTACAAATATGTATGTACATAGAATATTTTCCATATTTCATAATTTACAGATGTTGATATCTTAACAGTAACAAAATTTTGGAAAAAGACAAAAACAAAAAAGATGAGCATTGCAATTAAGTCCCAACGGCTGCCACGGAAACAGCGTCGCTATGATGCATAGCACCTAAAGAAGACGCCCCGATTGAGAGGTGGTTTGTGAACGCTCGAGGGGGCGGGGCTACGTGACCTCCATGGCAACTGTGTTGTCTGTCAGACTGTTTAACGGAGGTTTCTCTTGATCGTGATTTTCCCTGCAAGACAAATAGGATTAAATGAGCTTATTAGGAGACCTCAAATTCAAATGCTTACTTCAGTCTGGCAAATCCCCAGTGAAGAACAAAAACAGCTACTAAATAAAACAACAGTAGTCAGTGTTTCCCCTAGGTTTACGGCTTTGGGGGGAGGGGGTCCATTTTTATTTTTATTTCTGGACTCCTTTTTAAAGGGGTCATATGATGCTGCTAAAAAGAACATTATTTTGTGTATTTGGTGTAATGAAATGTGTTATGCGGTTTAAAGTAAAAAAAAAACCATTATTTTCCACATACTGTACATTATTGTTTCTCCTCTATGCCTCGCCTTCTTTGAAACGCGTCGATTTTTGCAAAGCTCATCGGTCTGAAAAAGCGAGGTGTGCTATGATTGGCCAGCTATTCAGTGCGTTGTGATTGGCCGAATACCTCAAGCGTGAGACGGAAATGTTACGCCCCTCACATACTGTTGATGCAGTGTCCCGGCCGGAGCGACGAGACAAAAACATTAAAACCCATTACAAACGAGGCATTTGTTGCATCCAATGGGGACATAATTACTGATTATAATGACTTATACTGTCTTTTTACGCGTTACGTTGCGCCGCGTAAACATAAAACCCGTCTGCATTTGTGATCAGAGAAATGACAAACAACAAGTGCTAACGTTAATCCACACTGCCCAAAACCCGCGATTTAATCTATCTTTTAAGTAATGAAAATTAAACAAATTAATTTTTTTGGGAAAATAAAGGTAATTTAATATTACAATTAAAACATTGAAGAAATATTGTATGATTATTCCTTAAAAATAAGGTTTTAATAATTTTAGTAGTAGTAGTAGTAGCAGCCTATTACATACAGTCTACTGAACAATAGTAATATATTTCTGTCGCAATGCCTTCAAGTTAAACTGAACTTTTATTTTGACGGGTTGCCGTGAATACCTTTACGTTTCTGTGTGTATATGATATGAGGATAGCTTTACTCAAATGAAACGGTCAAATGCTCATGAAGTGACTCTCAGGGCAGTTCTGGAGATGTTGTTCATGTATTTATGTCCTCATTCAGCGAGACGACAGACGCTAAAATCACTGCAAGCATCAGTACAAGTGGTAAACAAAACCGCACGTCTGCGCCATTCATTAACACAGAGACACGTAGAATTCACATTCAAATAGTCGTTTTGCGGCTTAATATTTACAAAAACTAGTGGGAGTGTGCTCACTTGTGTGTGCGCGCGTAAGCATCAGCGCGAAACTCCGCTGTGCGTGATACAGAGAGCGCAACCATAACGTAGAGACCGAAATGACATGCCGTCGTGTAAATAAGATAAATAACATACGGCTATTTAATTTGTTTAATAAAAGAACAAGGTATAGACCTGTTCTATCGGAAAGGTAACTTTAAATGACTGCTGTTGTGATCTGGCGCTATAGAGAAAATATAATTAAATAAAATTAACTGGACCTTCAAGGGGGGCGGGGGAAACACTGGTAGTACTAGAGCTTAAAGAGTGAACATGACAGTGTTTGTAATGATTTTTATTCTTCTAATGCAATACAATCAGTTTCTGTTTTGCAATCAGGAATAGGATCATGCTATAGCTCATAACCAACATATAGTCGTTATGAAAACTTCCTTTTTTTAACCCAAATAAATACAAATGAAATGTCATTTTTAGTTTTTCAAGTGAAATTGAAAAAATTTGAAACCGTTTGAAAAATTGATATTTATTTTGATTTGCTAAAGATTACACTTACCAACTGTTTAATTATAAAGATTAACTTCAAGTGAGCGTTAGATGACATCAAAGACAATCTAACTAATAAAAATCAGAAGAATCTGTATTTTGGTTGACATATAATATTAAATATCGACCAATACAGATTTGTGCATGCTAAGGCTATACGATTGGGAGAAAAGAATCGAATTGCGATTTTTCTAATAAAATTATGATTGCGATTTAAAATGCTTTAGCAAACGTGGAGCCTTTTTTTGTTTTATTGCTGTGCTTTTTTTTTTTTTTTTTAGGATGGCACAATTTGGACAAAAATTATGATTATATATCAATGATAAAATAATAATAATTATTATTATTATTACTACTATATAAAAATGTTTGTAATTTCACTAAAAAAAGATTACAGTACAACTGTAAAATTACAATACTAATATATATATATGGCTCTATCAAATTTACCATTTTCAGACATTAAGCTTTTATTTTGGAGGTAAACCATGGTGATAGTTCACTCAAAATGGAAAATTCTGTCATTATCTACTCGCTCTCAAGATGATATTTTGAAGAAAAGTTAGTAACCAGACTGCTGTTGGAAGCCATGGACTTCCAAAGTATGGAAAAAATATTATGCAAGTCAATGGCAACCATCAACTATTTAACTAACAACTTTCTTCAAAATATCTTCTTTTGTGTTCAGCAGAAGAAATAAACTTGCACAGGTCTGTAACAAGTGGAGGGTGAGTAACTGACAATTTTCATTTTTGGGTGAACTACCTCTAATACTTCTCTCTTGTTAATGACACATGGTACTTTTAATTTCTGTTTAACCAGGAATATTCATTTGACAGCACACAGGTACTCACCTGGGCCCCATGTCGAGGGTAGTTGACCCTGGGGTGACTTTTGGGATGGGTCTGTTGGCGTTGGCAGCGAGTTTTAGGGCAGAGGCGGGAACAGTGAGCTGACGCTGCAGCTGCCGCACACTCAAGGTGCCTGCTGGTGAGGGGACGCTTACTCTCACGGCCCCGCCCATCAGCGCTTGACCAGGGGCGGGGCCAGACGTGCCGACGTGATGATTGGCCGAGGAGGTTCCATTGTTAGTGGTGGTGGTGGTGGCAGCGGGGGAGGGGGATGAGGTGGAGGTAGGGCCGGCAAACACTGCAGAGCTTGTGTGATGTAAGCTCTTATAGACGCCTGCAGAGTCAAACGATGAAAGCTCATGAGAACAGAATTCATTGTATGCCGATACATAAATATATAAACAGTGAAAGCATATGGTTTAAAAAGACCAACCTGAGGCTGAGACAACTCCATTGACACCAAGTCCCTCATCTTTACTCTTGAGCGCCATCAGTTGGTCAGGAGTCACTAGTGCAGAGGCAGCAAACTGAGCACTGGCAGCGTCTATCGTCTTTGACACCAAACTCTGAGATAGAAAAAACACAATAGGAAATTATACAACTGTACAAAACAGCAACTCAGTAAAAGGAAATCTGTTCAGTTTTATTGATTAAATTAATTTTACAGGATATATTATGTGATCAACAGAGGTTGTGCTACACTATGGGTATTGTCATTGGTGTGCGTTTAAACGTCAGTCAAATTAGTCGTCGCGCACATCCCTAGTGCTGTCACATAGACATGATGCCAACACACCTTGACCTTGTTATTGCTTTTATAAAATTGCATTTATCAATAATGTGTCATTTTTGGGTCTTTTTTCTAAACAATTCTCCTCTGTTTGTCTTTAAAGGTAACATCTGGAAACACACTAAAATACACATATGTAAAGTGCAAAAAATTTAAATTTTGCATTCATTTTTGTCACAAGAGTGTTTAGCGTTTCTAAGACTTTCCAAAAGAGGAAAAAAATTGAAAGAGACTAATCACATTGGTCAAAAAAAGATGTAAAATTTGCCATTACTAACCCTAACCCACTGCATAAGAAACACCCACACAGCAGCATTAACTTAATGCTAAGCTAATAAAACACAATGTATAGTGACAAAGGTGAATTACATTTTTTGAACATTAAAATACAAGAAAACCTGACTGTGACACATTTCCACAGTTATGAACATTGTAAATCTAACTATGCAAAGGGTCCATAAACTGTAAAAGTATTTTGGGAACAGGACTTAAGTGTCTTTGCCATTGCATTCGTAATGCAAAATAATGTGTCCTCAGACAACGAAGATAGACTGTATGCTCATGATTAATAACCAAAATAAGTCTTAAAACATTGTCCCATGTATTACTAACAAAGAGGACAATCTTTCCATTGAAATTAGAAAGCACATCAACATTGCTCACGACATACAGCAACATGAAGCGAGGCACTAGTAAAGATGCTAGGTTGAATGGACACTGGAGATCTATGGTCACAGAAGGCTCACCTGGGGGTTGTTAGTGATGGCTGTGCTGCCGGCCTGCTGCTGTAGCTGAACCTGTTCCACCTGCTGTTTCTGCATCAGTGCCAGCTGCTCCTGGTGTTGCTGGTACTGCTCAGCGGTGAAAGCTGCAGGAGCACATGCACAGGGAAAAGATCAGGACATAACAAAAAGTGATCATGTTACTGCTCATGTCAAGATTCGTAAACATCACATTACACTATCCAAAAATGCTGAAAATGCTAACATTTTCATAGGGGTACTCTGGAATAGTAAAAAGTCTTGTAAAGGGTTTCTGAGTCAGAGGTGGTTTACAACCACCTTTTAAAAGCAACTTTATGGCAACTCATTAAAAACTAGACAAAATATAAAAAGCTGTCTAAAAAATAAAACTGAAAAAAGCAGCTAGACTCAGTAACTATTTGGCATCAGTGGACTCACCCGGTGTGAGTGGAGGGACACGTGGTTTGGTGGAGGAGCCAGGGCCTCTCTGTGTCTGAAGCGTGCTGATAGGGCGGATGAGGAAGCCGCGGCGGGGTCTCCGTGCAGACCAGTGCTCAGGATTGTCGGGGTCGTCTGGTGGTGCCGTCCGAGGCTTGAAATGCCTCCAGCGACAGGCTTTGATATTGAGCAGGATTTGCGTGAGGCCCGGTGAAGTGGAGGAGGGGGCAGAGGTATCTGTGCTGGTATGTGAGGTATCCGTGCTGGGCTGCTGGGTGGGAGACAACGATGGGAATGTGGGGGAATCCGGGTCCAGCCCATGATACACAGTATCGCATTCAGAGTCGGCTCGGTCCAATAAAACCCTACAAACAAATGTGAGAGAATTCATCAAATGTTGCAAAGTGAATTAACGTGGGTTAAATATTTCATACACATACATGTATACATGAACTGAATGAAACGTGTGATATGCCAATTAAAACATTTTTTAATCACAAATAACTGCATATTAGTATTTGCTGAGAAATTGTTTTTAACTGCAATTAAATCGCATTATAAATAAGAGTAATACAATTTGATAACTGCAATTACATAAAATTATTTACAAAATTAACTGATATCAATTTGTATTTGCACAGCAAATTGTCTGAATTTAAAAATATATTTTTAATAATATATTTGCTGAGATCAAATGAATACACATTAATTGAATCATATACCAATTTCATTGCTAATAATTATATAAATACATTTGCTGAAAAAAAAAAATCTAATTGCATAAATGCAAATACAAACTGAATTGACTTTTATTTTCCAACTAATTTTAAAATAAGTAATTAACAGTCTCATTATGATTAACAAATTATATGAAAATATTCAAATATGGTCGAAAGCAATTTAATTCATTTTTTATTATCTTAATTTGAGGACTTTTTTTCCGCAGCAAATAACGAAATTTGTGATTACATAAATTTCAATATATGCGGTTAATTGCAAATAAACTGAAATCACAATTATTATTTGCTGTGCAAAGTCCACAAATTAAACTAATTCAAAAACTGAATCAAACTGCAATTAATCATGAAAATATTTGCTGAAAAATACTAAATTAACTGCAGTTCTGTAATGTAAGTGGCTTAACTCACCTGCCCCCTCTACCCACTCGTCGCCGTGCCAACCCCAGGCATCGCCGTGGCACCGTGAGCGTGGTGAGAGAATAGCGATATCGCACATCTGCTACCCCACCCTCGGCAGGGTCTGACCAGGGCCAACCGCCCACGGGTCCCGAACGAGTCTTTGAGAAAAACAAACAGAATAATTTACTAATAACATCCAGCCTTGACTATAGCCTTACAACTCACTCATGCTAATTCATGCATATCAGGATGCTTCACAACGTACAGCATGATATTGACAGCCTGTTCTCCTCCTGAACCCAAACACACCATCTGGATCATTCTCCTCCTCGACCTCTGAAGAGCCAGAGAACATCTGAGGAAACAAAAGAGAGTGTCAAGCCAAGAGAAAGCAGAAAATGATTCTCATGAATGTCTATGACACTGAACGTGTGTGTACCTGTGAGTAGGGCTCATCGTCTGAGCTGGGAAAGTCATACTGATTGAGGTCTTTAGTGTTAAAGACTGCCGGGCCTGAATGGGCAGAGCCTGCCAACGGCAATGGCTTGGCCTTCTTCTCATACTTTCGTTTCTGCCGCACAACCTCTGGTTTATCCATCTACAGCCGAACATAAGAAACAAACCCACATGAGACTTAGTAAAAAATTTTGTTGCACTTGTGCAACAAGCTGACTGAAAAACAGGAACGCACAGAAATATTAAGGTAATTAAACACAAATAAGAATATTCTAATATAAAACACAGCACCTGTATACTTGTGCAAAGTATGTTTTGGGCATAAGGGGGAGCCCACTGGCCCAGACAAACAGAGATATGAGTGCGTGTACCTTGATCTTGTAGTCCCGGTCATGCTCTGTGTGTCTGTACTGGTTGCTGTTGGTGATTGGGATCAGAGGGATGACTGGTTTCTCCAGAGCTCTCTGAGCCAGAACCTCCGCCATCACCTCTCCTCCGAAATCAGCCATGCTGTTCCTACACACACACACACACACACACACACACACACAAATGAACACATCAATGAGCTTAAACAATACACACTCCTGTGCCAAACAACCTACAATAGCAGGGTTCCCACAACAATGAATTTCCATGAATTTTCTCAGGTTTCTGGAACTACTAAATTTAAAAAAAAAAAAAAAGTGTTTACATTTATTTATTTTTGTTTTTTTACATTAATTTTTATGGCAATAACTATAATTTTTTACCATAGTTTTAAAAATTGTTATAATAGTGAAGTTCACACCACAACTATAATGATAAAACCACTGACAGCCATTCAATATTAAAAGTATGCACTACATACAATAAAAATTTAGTCGGTCATTGGTGTGGATGCTAATATAATTATCATTTAAGTCATGTCAAATCAACCATGTTAGTCAGCTTGATAATGTTACTGGTGACAAATAAGCAGAATTCAAAAGCAATATTCATTAAATACACTACCATTCAAGTCAGTAAGATTTTTTTGGAAAGAAATTATTACTTTTATTCAGCAAGGACACATTAAATTGATCAAAAATGACAGTAAAGACTTGCATAATGGTGTTATTTTGAATTTAGCATTCATTACAAAATCTGGGGAAAAAAACAAACACATGCATCCATAAAAAATATTAAGCTGCACTGTTTTCAACATTGATAATAAAATAATAGAAAAACTGATTTCTGAAGGATCATGTGAAACTGAAGAGTGGTATAATTTTGCTGAAAATTAAGCTTTGCCAACACATTAACAAATTACATTAAAACGTAATTAAAATAATTAAAATGCATTACAATAGAACAAATATTTTAAATAGTAATAATTATTATAATATTATTGTATTTTTGATCAAATAATTGCAGCCTTGGTGAACAAAGGACTTTAAAAACATAAAAGACTTCTAAAAATATTACTGAACCCAACCTTTTGAACAGCATTGACAGCAATGGTCTGATAGGGCAACTTCTGTCCTTATTGTTGAGCCATGACTCAGTTCAAACAACAAGAGTCACAAGTCACCCCCTCTAGTACCATTTGAATAGATGGTGTGTTACACATACATGAGGCTGACGACAGATCAGAACGGACCAATAACTGCTGATCAGCTGGCCTGGCCGAAACATCAGTCTATGAATAATCATTAGCGCTACATGTACTACAAATTTACCCATAAATCAGCTGCAGAACAAGCATGCCTTTACAGAATCACACTAGCACAGGCTAGGAAACTCTTCATTCATTTAAACATGTTGATTTAATATGCTTAGTACTAGGGATGTAACGATTCACTCAACTCACGATTCGATTCGATTCACGTTTTGTGAAACTATACATAAAAAATCTGCATGAAACAGTGGATGAGCTGAATGAGACGCAGATTCACTCTCTGCCAGCAGGTGGCGTTTAAAGCGTTTCCTTGGTTTCCGCTGTAATCAAGGCAGCGCTGCACTTATGAACTTTAATATGCTTTATACAGAGGCAAGAGGAAAAGAAAAAATACCATCTAAACTTTTCTAAAGACAGTAAGCTCCCCTCAGACATGCATTCATATAAACTCCTACACCTAAATGAATCGCGATTTGTTTAGCATCTCAACCGATTTGAATCGTCACATATTTGAATCGATTTTCAACCGGCTCGCAGTTAATCGTTACATCCCTACTTAGTACCAAAAAAAAATATGCACGATTTCCCCCCAGCAAGCAAAACATGTTACTGCTACACCCTTATCTGTGAATGTTATCAATTCAAAGCAGTCTTGTAGTCTAAACTGCAAAGCATATCACTAGCAAAGCCAAGGTCATGGGTTCAATTCCAAGGGAATGCATAGACTGATAAAACGTATACCTTCAATGCAATGCAAGTTGCTTTGGATAAAAGCATCATCTGTCAAATGAACAAACATGCAAATGTAATTTTTTTTTTCATTATATATAAAGCTACCTGCTATTTATACTGTATTATTGTTTTTACAGAACGGTCATCAAATAAAATCCACTAGAGATGCACCGATCGACCGGCCAGGGACCGGAATCAGCCTATTATCCGCATGATCGGCCCGGAACGGTGACCGGTCCGTTGTGATGTCACAGCTACGCTCACATCCGCATGTAAATATGTCGTCGGCATGGAAGTTCTTCACTGTGAGTGAAGACGACACGAAGTTCACAATTTGCAATATGTGTAGGGTCAAAGTAAACCGTGGGGGAACCACAGGGCTCGATTAATGCTCTTCTGGGCCAAGTAGATTTTTTTAAAGGAAAAAAGAGAAAATGCCTAAAAATGCCAAGTAAAAAATTTTACTTGCCCGACCGGAAAAGAAGCTTGATTAAAACGTCAATTGGCAAAAATAACTAGGGAAGCACTGAAATTGGCCACCAAAAAATTTAGCACGAGAATGACTTTACTGCATCCAGTGTAAACAGAGACTGATGATGTATTTATGTCATGCCAGATGAGACTCGCGAAGCCTGTCTATTGTGTGTGTGTGAGAGAGAGAGAGAGACTAGTGCAGAAATCAAAACAAATGAGCACAACAGCACAAGTAACTCAGAAATGTATACACTTATACTGTCTGCAGTAGAAAAAATAAATAAATTATTAGTTCTGGGCGGTATACCGAATACCGGTGTTTATTTTTGTTATGATATGAATTTTTAAAATACCACAATACACAGTATGTCGCTCAAACAACGTTCGGAATGCGACACTGTTTGAAACGGGTCCCTTTTCACTGTGGTGAGGGAACAGCTGTATGTGTTACCAAGCGTGAAAGTTCCGAAACTGAAGCTGTAAAACTAATAGAACTTGATGACAGAAGAACTCATCCACAATATCCACATTGACTGCCCCAAATAGTGACTCCTGGTTAACATGTATTAAAAGGGGTCGTGTTTAGTCACTATTTAGTGTGGTATTTTTTGACAATATTCACTCATCATGACAGTAAAATAAGGCATTCTTAGTCAATATACTGCAGTATTTCCTCTCTCAATCAGTAGAAAATATGGTTAACACCCGGTCATGCATGAAAAAAAATACCGTCATGTACCATGAAACCGGTATAATTTTGAAAAGTACTGTGATATAAATTTTTGGTCATACCGCGCCCAGCAGTAATATTTATAATATATTATATAGGTAAGCAACATGACACGACCAAGATGTTTCACCGAATATCAGCATGACTGCAATGTGACACTGATTTTATACAATAGTAGTTAAATAAACAATTTACAATTAACACACAATTAAGTGGCTTACATTTTAGACACAATATTGACAGCTTTTGCTCAATTTCACGGACGAAAATAGTTCCAATTAAAGCCAGAGCAGAGCTGTTGTGTCTCCGAGCAACACAGCTGTGTTTTGTTACTGAATGAATCCAAGTTTTTGAAGGAATCGAGTGAGTCAATGATTCAGTGACCCATTCATAAAGATTTGAATGAATCGGCTGAATGAATGACTAAATGACTCACTCATTAAAACAGTCATTTGCCGCCACCTACTGGTGGTTTGGTTTCATATTTAAAAGTATCATTGCATTTTTCCCAACATCTCTTATTTGTATGTTCAAAAAAGTATTTAAAACATTAATCTTATAACTACTTATGAATTTACAATTTTGCGGTGCAAATTAATTTATGGCACCTCTCAGCTTCATTAAACAGTCTTTGTAAATACATCTAACGCCACTTCAGATACAGCTTCTGTTTCCTCTACAGTGGAAAGACAGTTTGTTGATACCAATTTCATTTGAATAGTAGCAACTGCACAGTGTCTTATTCTAACTGAATTAATTGAAATTTGATAAAAGATCATTTAAAATAATTTTTTGCATTGAAAAAAAAAAGTTGATTTTTGTTTGTATATGCTGTCAATTATAGTTCTTAGAAAGAAAATCGTAATCGGCAAAAATCGGTATCGGCAGGGCACCCTTACAAAAAAAAATCGGAAATCGGAATTGGCCAAGAAAATTGCAATCGGTGCATCTCTAAAATCCACCTTAAGAGTACAGATCAGTACCATAACAACCATTAAAAACAAGCTCAACCATGATTAAAATCCAAATCTTCTGATTATTCCCAATTCTGCCTGCCTCTGGTACCTGCTGTCCGCTGCCTTTCTCCAGCCGGTCGATCATCTCTTCAAACTGCAGGGCTCCCACATCCATCTTCTTCTTCAGTTTATTTACAAATGTCTCGTCCTCAGAGTCCAGGTCATAATCTGGCTGTTCTGTGTCAAGACTGAATGCTGTACGTAGCAGGACCAGTTTGGAGGGCACAAAAAAAGAAAAACAGAGTTAGAACTGTTTTAATGTGAACCAAAACCATGATAAACCAAGTTTCACAGTCATTATAGGTGCAACACGCAATTTCTGTGACTATTGCAACACCAAATTGAATTGCAATTTGTTTGAGCAGACAGACATTGCAACACTGACTCCAATTACATGAGTTTGGGGCTATTTGTTTGTCTGAACCATCATCATGGATCATGGTTTTGCTGGTTAGACTTGTTTGGGGCTATTTGTTTGTCTGAACCATCATCATGGATCATGGTTTTGCTGGTTAGACTTGTAAACAGCATCTTTCTCCATCAACAGCCATTCAAATCTATCTGTATACCTGTCACAGCTCAGTAAAGTCAATTGTAAAAGTCATGAAGGACACACAAACCTCAAGCCCTCAATCTGAATGAGATATACAGGGCTCTACAGTGCGACCATTCACCTGCTGGCAGTTTGTTTAATTTTTAAAGTATTTTTTCTGTTATTTAAATCATTTAATATTTCTATATTCAAAATTGTATATTTAAAACATTAACCTCAACATGAATTTATGAATTTAATTGCACTCATGCGACCTCTGAGCCTCATTAAACATCTGAAAATACACCTACAAGCCACTTGTGTGTTCTTCTGTGCCAACTCTGTAGCACAAATGTATTTATTTTGATTGGTAACTTATTCTACTTGTTTTTATTCTGTTGTTTTAATTAGAAATGTTAAAAAGCTTATAAATATTTTTTTGAATTTGACACAAAAGATGACATACTTTTAATAAAGTTAGAAAAATGCCATTACAAAGGTAAAAACTAAATTCCCTGTAAATCACTTTGAGTCAAACATCACCTCGTAATGAGAAGGTTAATTTTTTATCAGAAATTTTTTTATTACTGATTAGAAGGTGCTCCTAAATTTTTGACCGTGCTCCTACATTTTTTAAATTAGGAGCACAAGCGCTCCTAAAAAGAAAAGTAAGCGTAGAGCCCTGATATATGGTCTGGATAAAGGCAGAATGACTCACGCTGTATGTGAATGAGCTGTTTGGGCATCCTGAAGTCCCCCGGGTAGAGGGACTCATAGTAGGCGATGTTGCTCTCGGCCTCTGGGACGGGAATCACCATATTGTCCCTCTTCTCCCCGTACACCTGCTGAGCAGAGATGGCCCGCTGGAGATGGTGCTCCTACATACACACACAAAAGATTTAGTTCAATTGCAAGTAAAAGTTTGTGTGGGGTTTGGCTGGATGGTCACAAGTATTGTGACTGAATGCTAACATTATCTGGTGTTGCCAATTTAGCCACTTTGTTGCTAGATTTAGAGACTTTTCAGACCCATTTAGAGACTAGTACCAAATCAAGTCACTAGTTTGTATTCATCCTGTCGTCCGACAGCAGAAAAATATATAAATAAATAAACAATTATATTGCGAATTATGCTGTATTAAAATACAATATGTGATCACATAAAGTGTGTGACTAACAAATATAAAAGGCTGACACTAGGCAGAATGCAAATACGATGCAATAGTGTCAATAATATGCTAATCAGGGTATGTTGTTATTTAGCGACTTTGAGCAGGCTTTAGCTACTTTCTATTGGAAGCAGTGTATCATTTACACAGACTCTGAAGATATTATTTGGATTGTCAATAAATAAATTAATTAAAAACATCATATAAAACAATCTTAATGGTCACAAAAAACTTAACTGAAAACAAATTTCTATTGCGTTGCCCTTGCTAACAATACACAAAAATGAAACCGCATTAGAGCCAGGTATTAACATTTAATTCACAATACATCATGATTTGAAACATTATCATTACATTATGCGAAATCTAAATGCACATTCTAATAAAAAAATATTGATTCTAAATATTATGTACATTCATCATGCATCATTTTATTTTTGTTGGATAATTACCATCATTGTATCAATTTTGAGCTTATTTAGACTGCCTTGTTGTGCATAATTGTTAATTTTATAATTACCAAATAATGCACATATAATCGCAAAATGCTGAAACAAGTGTAGATGTATTAACATGAGAAAGAAATGCTATATACATGCACAAATACAGTGATACAATATAGCCCTAAAAAGCATATAGTAGTAAAAACATCTAATTTCTGATAAATTCAAAATAAGAATGCAACAGTGCACGTGCAAAACAATGCAGTGGCCAGGTGAGTAGTAGTAGTCTAAATGGGGAAGACGCTTTAATATGCAAACTGTCAAACAGCACAGTACATTGTCAGCACAATAAACAAGCTACCACTTCTAAAAACATCAAAACACATACAGATTGTACTAATTGACTATTGCGACCGAAGCCTAGCCCCCACCAAGCAAACCCCTGACACAGCAGAGCCGGATCTGTCAGATGCAAGCTGTACCAAAACACTGGCATGCCAGCACAAACAATTACACGTGCTCAAAAAACAATCCCAGACGGCAGACACTGACCTCTATTTTACTGTATGTAAAAATTGGGTAATCTATGTACATATGCACATAATTTAAGAAAAAAAAAAAAACACTGATTGTTATACTGATATAAAATTATGTACACCGTAACGAAAGCCTCATCGCAGACCTAATATCATCCATCATTAAAAATCCACATAGATCAAGCACTAACGTTGGTCCCTATAGTACAAAAGACACCAGAGCATCATTTGACAGCCCTGACCCCCAGAGACCCCATTATTAGCATATGATAAAACGCTTTGAGTGGGACAGCAGCATCTTCACTCCGCCATCTCACACAAACACCAGAGAGAGCATTACTCTTGCCACCTGCCCCAGAGCGCTGAGGTTAGCCAGTATTTTCACACCATCGCTTTTAGACAGACATGTTTACTGCATACATATTTACCCCCGCACATCTGCACACATTATCAGAGCTGCGCAGAAAATGTGAAACACTCTCATTCAGACACATTATAGAAATGATTTAAAATAGATTCACAGATATGTGAAACAAGTACAATTTAGTTTAAAACACCGATTTATTTTTATGCATTAAAATCACAACTGAGAAACAAATACAGAAATACACAGAAAAATGTCAAGGGGGAAATAATTTAATTTTAATGGATCATCTATATTTCCACATTAGTAAAAAATAGAAGACTATTTCATGAGAGATGTGCATAATGTTTGCTTGCATGATGCGGATGTACAGATGAAATGCAGCTGTCAAGAGCTCCAGTTGCCTGTGTTGAGAAAACAAAACAAGGCCTCGTGCGCCCCTGCACTGGTCAAACGGATCATTGCGTACACCTAAACAGACCGGTAGGGCCAGATAGGCTTCCTCTGTCAATTCAGAGATACATTCGCTAATAATGCCTTTCACAATGCACATAAATGTTCCTCAGAGAGTACCTTCATTAGAAACCCATCCGATTAAAAAGAAATATACTAATGCTTCAATTGACATGACAACTATTCTCACTGAATCTTATGTCTCTTTAGAAAATAAAACACTGAGATTTTGGACCGTTTAAATATGAGAGAATACTGCACAGATTGTTTTGCTGGGTGTTAATTGGTGATTGTTGTATATGTAAGGGCAGAGATTGGCGCCCCCTCAGGTCAGTGCGCGGTACTGCACCTCCACGGAGCCCCAAGATAATCAACAAAATGGTTGCTTTGCACGTGGTCACGTGACTCCTTTGTACTCCGTAAACCGTCTACAGACAAAAATACTGCGTAGTAATTACCTCCGAGGTTATATTTGTAGAGAAAAACCTCTAACGTTTGGGCCCAATATACTAAACCTCGGCCGTCTCGGACGGTAGCGACATATTTGACGCTTTTCTGCAGGAAAAATGGCGGCCATTTTGTGTACACTGGCGCAGACAAGCAAGGGACGCGCCTCTGACAATAAAACTGAAATTGTTTTCAAAATACATGACTCTAAGCAATAAAACGTACCGATTCCTCCTCTTTCTCCATCCCCGTGGGCATCTGTGGCACTGCCCGGTTAATAGACGCATATTCGTGCAGGTCGGGCAGGTCCTCGCAGCGGAAGACGGGTAGAGGCTTGGAAGCGTCCAGCGCCCGCGCCCGAAACGACAGTTTACTCATTTTTCTTTATAATTCGAGATGCAGCATAAATCTATCCGATCCCCTAATGTTCCCTACTCGTCCGATTAAAGTTCTCATGGATGATGCCGGTTCGGTGTCCAGCAGTGCACGGGTCGCTCGGTGGAGGTGGCGGGGCGAGCGGAGGCGCGAGGCCGGGTGTCGGTCGCTCTCTCTCGGTGTGTGTTTCCAGCGCGCTCCGGTCCCTGATTCCAGGCTCAGTGCGCCATGGCCAACATGGCGGACATTAAAAACACTCTTTAACGGTCCGCTCGTGTTTAGCGGCCCAACCCCCCGATCCCAGATCAGCCATTCCCACATGGGCTTACAACGCATGCGCTTCTGGAGCTCGAAGACACGGGGGAGGGAGTGAAAACCACTCCCATACCTTCTGCAGAGCGCGCCTCTTCAAAAAACATGTCTTTTTCACCGGGTATGTGGAAAATAATGTGTTTTTTTAACTTTAAACCGCATAAACACATTTCATTACACCAAATACACAAAATAATGTTCTTTTTAGCAGCATCATATGACCCCTTTAAGATATACAATTGAACCGATATGGGAAAAATGACGACAGACTAATAAAGTCACAAGACGCTCGTTCTTAACCGATTAGTATTTGGCTGTCGGTGAAGTGCTTTTCTACTAAATCCATCTTGTAGTCAATGACAGCACAAGTCAAAAACAGATGACCTAATGACAGAAGGGATGCATTTCATTCCCTTCAATTACTGCTGCCTGTTCCATGATTGAAAAATAAGTATTTGAAAAATTAATTTTCTCTTAAATACAAACAAACAAATAAAAACAATTAATTATAGACTTCCCTTCCTTACAGAAGTTGGTTTCATTTCACATTTGTCACAAAACCTTTCTAACTTAGCTGTAAAATAATAATAATAATAATAATAAACGCAATGTAACAAATGCTTTTCCTGTCAAAAAAAAGAAAAAAATTTTCAAATCAATGTAACATTTGAATATTAACCCTGCAACTTCGAAATTAAATATTATAACTACTTATCAAGTACATCAAAATGCTTGAAGGACTGCTTTAAAAAAATGTATATTCATTACCCAGAAAAAAAAAAAAAACTGTAAAAGTTGGGGTGCTTTCACACTAGCACATTTGGTGCGTATAGGGTTCGATTGACGTCAGAGTTCGGTTCGTTTGGATGATGTGAACGCGGTCTTCCGAACTTGGGTGCGCACCCGTGAACCGTACCAGAGTCCGCTTAAAAGGGGTGGTCTGGGGCACGGTTCAAGTGATCTCCGGTACAGTTTGCTGCTGATGTGAACGCAATCGTACCAAATCACAGAAGTGAACCGCTATTAATGCCGTATTATTCGATAAAAATGTGTGTTTCACTCACTTTCCTGACGAGCGTGACTGACGCTCTGCAAGCAGAGAGCTGTATCATTTCTGTTCGCCTTCAGAATTCTTTAGAGCATTTGTAGTACATTCGTAAGACAGACGTAAGTGCTGTTATGTACTGAAGCTAATTTGGAAACAAAACCAACGGTTCAAAAACATAAATGTGACCCTGGACAACAAAACCAGTCATAAGGGTCAATTTTTTGAAATTGAGATTTATAGATCATCTCAAAGCTGAATAAATAAGCTTTCCATTGGTGTATGTTATTTTAGGATATGACAATATTTGGCCGAGATACAACTATTTGAAAATCTGGAATCTGAGGGTGCAAAAAAATCCAAATACTGAGAAAATCGCCTTTTAAGTTGTCCAAATTAAGTTCTTTTATATATAAAAGAATACCCCAGCGACTTAAGACTGGTTTTGTGGTCCAGCGTCACAAATATAAAATTGAAGAGAGCAATGCTACGCATTTTGCCGCCTTCGTTACTAAGCAACGGGGTAAACAGCTGCTGGCTTGATGACGCAAACGAACCGTAGTTCGGACCCAAATAATATAATGTGAACACAGTCCAGTCGGGGGAGGGGGGAGCAATCAAACTCTGGTTCGGACCAAGCAATCGAACCAAGTGTGAAAGCACCCTTATGTCACGGCTGTCATCTGTCAGGATGGAACGACAACAGCTTTGTGGGCTTATTGTTGTTGTTGTTTTTTTTTGTTTTGTTTTTTTTGTAGATGTCGTTATATTAATTTATCACTTTGAGCAGGAGTCCAGGATTCATCGGGAAAACATTTTTAAAATGCACATACTAGGAAGAAGAGCAATAAGACGGCATTATAAAATGAAAAAGTGCGCTTTAATTTTGAATTTCGAAGGCCGAGACCACCTCGTTCAGGCGATCGCGGACCGATTGTTTTGGCGCGGATCCGAGCGCGAATGCCGTGTTCACATATGCCCAAACGAACCGAGCTAAGGGGGGAAACGCGCCAGGTTCCGAAACAACGGGCCAGGTGTGAAAACACCCTTAGTAGTAGTAGTAGTATAATTTTATTTAATGCCATCTCAGCATCTGAGGATATTTTACTGTAAAGTAAAATCATATTTGATATCCAAGCTATAAAGTTATTCGATCATCCTTCTGAAGTGAGATTACTTTTCTATGTGAACGTCTTGTTTGTGTTACTGACCTAATTCATGAGACCTAATTCATTACATGAGTCACTTCAGAGTAACCTTAACTTAACTAGCAACATTCCTTTAATAAAGTCCTACTTATACAATGATTTGACAGCTGCATAAATGTTAAATTACTTCTATCAATAGGTTATGTATGTTTATATTTGTAGCACTATGGTCCTGTGAGGCACAACATTTTGTTCCTTTGTATGTCTTCACACATGCAGTTTTCACAGGAACATCAGGGAAGCATTGCAGCTTGAATCAAGCTTGGTCAAAGATGACAAAGCCAAAAATTTCCCTTTTTCTTATTGATGTTGCAGCAATCTCAAACACTATTCCCACTAGACGCAAAGAGACAAGTGCCTCATGGCAGTAATGAGATGCCCATAAGATCACGTTTCACTGCAAAAACATTCACCATTCCCCTTCTGTCTGCTAAAGCAGTCATATATACTTTCTCCTTCATACATACATACATGCACTTACATCATAACCACCTTACATCATAAGACCACAATACATAAAGCACAAAAAAAACATCCAGATATAAAAGTGTGCAACTATATATAAAAAAAAAAAAAACATGCATTAACAACATATGATGTAATCGCATGTGTTTATGGGTGTATTTTCTGATATGCAATGTCTAAGATAAAGCACCCAAGATATGATCTAGTGCAAGTGTGGGTTTACCTCCGCTCCCAGAAGACCCACACCTCTGTACCCGTCTGACCCTCCAGAGGGGTAACAATCCGTCCGTCATCGTCCATCCCTGTCACACATATTGACATAAACATGAGCATTGACCATGACCATACTCTTGACCTCAAGGGTGAAGGTGCTGCCATATCTCTAGGATAACAGCCAAATTATGACATAAGTGCAAATGCACACAGCTTTGTTGTACCAACAAAGAGGTAACGTTACATCATTGCTGCCTGTTGTTTCCTACATTGAATTAATAAAAGACAAATCTGCAATAGCGCCACCATGTTAAAACACTGAACAATAACGCATTTTCGCTCGCTTTGCGCAAATCCGTTTGACCGTTCACAATTATGTAACTCCAATCCGGATTCTAAGTAAAGGAACAACGGGCGCTCACGCAATATGAAGCTCGCGGAGCGGAAGAGCATATAAAAGCTGCTCCTATTTTGGCTAACCGCGAAAAAAAATTATCTGACAGGACAAAAAACGAGTCGTGGCAAGCTTTTAAAGAGGATGACACGTAGACTCGCAGTTAATGTGCGGAGATGATGCGGCCATCCGCAGTCAAAGCCTTCTGCAGATATTTAACCTGCGCGAAAAGTGCACCTTCGGCTTTGTTTCAACCCCCAAACAGCTCGCGAGCGATCATACAATTCCGACATTTTATCAAAGTGTGCCGTTATCAAGGCGGAGCTTATTTTGGAAGATATTTTGAGTTTATTTTCCGGCCTGATGTGGCATAATGATGTTGGGAATATGCTGACGCTCGCCTGCCAAGTTTACAGTTGGACTCGCTCATTCAGCAAACCTTTATGTTATCAAAACATTAATCGATCAATCCACTTTATAAACGGGAGGCAGACAGATAGTCGGGACTTACCAGCTCTAGATCCAGAGATCTCCACGGGTCTGTCCTGAAATTGCCACATTTCAGTGGTTTAGACGGCGTAACTGTGTAACGCATCAAGGTGGTGTTTGGCAAACAAACGGCACAGTCGTCAGACAGTCTCTCTCTCTCTCTCTCTCTCTCTCTCGCTCTCTCTCTCTCTCGTCTTTTGCCTTCCGTTCGACACAGCGATTAGAGAATCTCCTCGGTTAAATGAAGACAACGCAACCCCGTTAAAAGATCCGGCAGGGAAATGAAGGAGTTATTTGCGTCAGATTAAGGCTGTAAACAGACCCCGGGTACAGACGGAGACTGCCACAGGGTTAATAACTTTGCAATGGCAGCGAGACGCCGCCTGATTGGTCAGTGAGTGGCACCAATCACCTGTGGGAAGCTTCAAGCATATGATCTAAGTAGCAGCATGAAGAGATGCTGTGGCAGAACTAATTGCTGCAAAAATACACTTAACCCCTTCTATTGTCTTGTTCTATTGTTCTTTTTTTAACCGTTTTCGGTATTGAATACAACTAAATACTACTGTGGTAGCAGGGAAAACAAGCACAATAGAAACCGAAAAACAAAAGCCTTTAGTGTGATTGTTTAAACTTTATAGTTACACTCAGAAAAAAAGGTTCAAAAGCTGTCGCTGAGGCGGTACCTTTTCAAAAGGTACAAATATGCACTATTTGGGTACTAATATGTAGATTTTAGGTGCTAATATGTAGATTTTGGGTGCTAATATACCTTTACGGTACTTATATGCACCCTTTAGGAGTAAATTAGTTTTAAAAACTCTTGTACATTTTTTTCGTGTGTAGTTATCATGTTGACAAAATAGAATTTCAGCAGATATATACATTCACAGTTTCACATTCATAAAACATTGATGACTCATCTTACACCAGACAGATTTTTGTCCAATCAAATGCTCTCTAGAATGAGAACGCCCCTCCCCCAAATACAAACAGTCACTGACTAGCATGGCGAAAAAAATGTCACCCACACAATGAGACTATCAATACTGTATTTAATAAACCCGACACTGTTTTATTGGCTTTATAGAACGTTTTCAAAAATAATAATCATTGGTGAATCTTGTTGTGACTTCTTGTGCTCTGGAAAACCATAATCTCGCGGGAAATGAGGAGTTTAATATTTACATATAAACATTACAAAATAGAGAAATATAATCAAGCAATGGGAAACTAGCTTACAAATCAGTTCTCAACTGGGAGGTTGGGACCCAAAATTTAAAAGGGAGTATAAAACTGTTGTTGACAAGTGGGTATAAGTGGGTATTTTGGTCCAAAGTCAAAATCGGTTCTAGATTACTTTAAATACAGTTTATGATACTATATTAGGTCACCGATGTAAAATCTGGGCGATGAAGCAAAGAACATCTGAACCACTGCTGTAAGCCATCCTGAAGATCCATCAATTTCCCTCATATTTGGGGTTCACCACAGTTGTCACAGCACCCTTGTAGATGGGGTTGTCACCCTAAACAGAACAGTAGGTATTATTATCCCAGTATTTTTCTCATAGCATGTTCAGTATGAACCCCTTAAAATGTATTTATTTGCAATATTAAAAAAGAAATATTAATAAAGAGGTGCATACTGTGTCCCATCTGGCATTCATCTTCTCTTTCTCGAACTTGGCGAACTCTCTGCGGTCATGAATAATCATGAGCAGCTTCCAGATGAGCAGAAGTGCTAAACCAATCAGAACGATTCCTGAGACCACACCCGCTACGATGGGGATGATGTCAGGGCCAGAGGGACACTCTGTGAACACAGGCACAAAGCATTATGGGAAAAAAGGTAAAACTTGTAAACTAGTTATCAATAGCTATGAAATAAGAGAGTCGGCAAGAAACAGAAGTTGCAGTCGTCTTTTTCCACTATTGTGATGTATATCCGAGTCTCAAACAAGAAAAAATGTAGGGTGGGACTTGATTTTATCCATTGGGAATTGATTGGATAATTTTTCGTTTGCTAATTGCTGCAATTTCACGAAAGTGACACGTGAATTCAAATAGTAAAATCAATCAGATTTACTTTAAAAGTTAAGAGTCCAGTACTCATACAGTATTTGTATTTAATATTTTAAAAAGAATTGTACTTGGTAACATTTGCCCATCATTTTTACCCTTTTTTTCAGCCACAAGGACATCAGTGTTGTCATCGTTCTTGGTATCGTAGGTGAAGAAGAACCAGCAGTCATCAACGTCGCGCTCTTTGCAGAGATTGATGTAGGGCTGGTCATTGGGCTGAGGAAGTTCCTCCTTAGTCTTCACTGCTGTTAGATTGAAGGATCTGCAGTCGATCTCACATGTATATTTCTTGCTACCTGTGCCAAATTGTTGGCACTCAACACAGTCCCTTTAAGCAAAAAGTTATTCAGATACAAAACTGACTACAAGCCAGTAGTTCAACTTACTGGGTTATCCATGTTAGCCTAACCTCATTAGCAAATGCTCCGCCAATAACTCACTTGTGTTTTGTGCAAATTATTGGGCAGGTTGGGCAGATTTCACAGGTTGGACCCTCAAATCTTTGGTCGGTACATTTACACACGCCGCATTCGCAGATGCCCCGACCGTTACAGATCTGTTTGTTACTGGCCAGACAGGTGGAGGTGTCCAAAGGGCATTCGCAAGCACTTCCTTTGTAGTTGGCGTCACAGATACACTTTTTGCACTCGCATCGACCATGACCTGTGGGGAAAAGAATGCCTTAATAATAAATATGTCCTAATTCACTGCAAAAAATTAATTTCTTGCTCAGTATTTTTGCCTTGTTTTCCAGTACAAATATCTAAACAGCAGAATTCATTCACAACAATAAAATCTGTGAGAAAAATACAGCAAAAGACAGAAGTGCAAATTCTCAATGGGTTGTACCTCCGCAGAGGTTGTTGTTGGAGCGGTCACAGCTGAAGTTGTCACACTCGCAGAACTTTCCGCTGTATATCTCCTCTGGGTTGTCTCTTTTCTTACACTCACACGTTCCACAGACACATTCTCCATTGTTGCTGCAGACGTCCGTCCCGTTATCCACGCGGCAGTTCGCGTCCAGATCATCTGTCAGGAACTCATCTTGGCTGCACTCACATAATCTGCCTAGCCGGCCTTCATTACACCTGATATGAGAGATAACATTGAATCAGAATGATCGTCAAATGATCTGCATTTGCATATGAGATTAACCGCCTCTCACACCTGCATACTCCACACTCCTGAGTGCCATGGCCACCGCTACACTCCGGACTGTTCGGGATTCCGTCTTTATGACACTCACATTCGCAGATGAAGTTGAGGACGATCTCCACCTCCTCAGTGAAGCCCTGTGGCTTGATCTTTACAGTCTCTGATTTATTTTTAGACGGACAGCCTGTAGCCGTGATTTCTATATCAAACGTCACCTATGAGGCACAACACATTGTTTTGAATGCTAAGGCCTCGTGCACATTACAAATAAGGAGCTCTTTGTACACATTTAGAGATTCACTAAACAGTCGTGTACTGTAAAAACAGTTGGAATTTTTACAGAAAAAGCTTTTAAACACTACAATAAAAATGTATTGTTTGATTGCAAGCCATCTTACCATATACAGTGAAAAACAGAAAATGGTTTAACATCACACTATATGTAATTTTACCATAAAATACTTTTAAATGTATGGTTTTTGCAAGTAAAGACTATGAATTACCATATAATTTATGGTAAAAAAAACAGGACTAAAAAAAAGGGACATTTCCAGAAGTCCCTGCGTGGCACATCAACACATATGATTATATTTTATATAATTTAGTTTATTGTCACTTTTGTTAGCAGTAATGTACCGTATATTAGGATGTTTTGTGTTACAGTTCATGTTTATTTGTTTATTTCATTATTTTATTGTCATGTGCACTCCAAACCCTAATAAGTTATCAGAACTCTGTTACATTACAAAAATTTTATGTTGTAAAATGTACAGGCACAAATATGCCATCTCATATTTAAAACATTGTCACATTATTTTTATGGTGAATTTCTGGCAATCACAGCTGCCAATTTTTACCATACATTTAACCTATTTTTCTAGAATGTGCCACTTTAGGATGCAGTATTTCATCTAAAAACCTGCGTCTTATACACCATCAGTTTATCAGCACTGAAATAGTGCAACATGGAGATTGCCTAGCATAACTAGTTGGAACTAGTTATTAGAACTAGTTTTCCCCCCCAACAACTTGCTCTCCTCTCCCAGTCTTTCCTTTTGCAATTTCATTGGGTGTTGCTCAGTGCTGCTACAGTCTGAACTGGTATGTGTCTTAAATGTATGCAAACTAGAATATCATTGGTGAATGGCAATGAGCTGGAATTTTGCTACCATATGATAACTTGTGCACTAAGCTTAAGCTACAGCTAGCAAAATGGAGTCACTCTACAGACAAGTTCAGATGGCATTTATTGCATTCACTCTCTCACCTCATCCCCAATAGAGATGTTGGAGCACTTTCGACCATTTTCTCCTTTTTCACTCACTCCATTCTTGCAGTGGGAGATGTAGGAGATGGACACACCAGCAGGTAGCTTGCTGTTCTCCAGAATGACCTCTGAGGACAAAGACTGACGACACAATTAAACAAAGAGTGTTAATTAAAGGGATAGTTCACTCAAATTCTGTCATCATTTATTCGCCCTCATGGCGTTTTAAACCTGTATGGCTTTCTTTATTGTGTGGGACACAAAAGAAGATATTTGGAAATTCAGTACTTCAAAATATCTTCTTTTTTGTTTCACAGAAGGAGGAAGATTTGGAATGACATGACATGAGGGTGAGTAAATGATGACAGAATTTTCATTTTTAGGTGCACTGTGCCTTTAAACTTCTAATTTTACTGGTTGCAGGACTGTTGATCTGACTAAGCAATACGCCTCTTACCCTTTTTCTGATCATTCAAATGGATTGAGTACATATTTAAGATTATAAACAACCCTTATGCGTGGGAACGGGCTGTAAAGTAAAATCTTTTGCAAGCAAGAAAAGAGAAACAGTGGTTTTGGTTTCACTTCCTTTTA